GGCCTGGCTCATCAGTGGTGAACCCTTCCAGCCGTGTCGCCAGTTGCATCAACCAAATGTACTGTTTAGTTTATATAGCCGGCATTTTAGTGGGGTTCTTGTGGTGAAGGTGGTAAAGCTATATTTACGATGCATTAACGCGCCATCCGTTATAAAAAAAATTGAACTATTTTTGACGCGTATGAATCTTTTATGAATAAAACAATTTTATAATTCCTTTAATGCATTTATTTTTTTAATGGTAGTAAGAGCAGTGGGAAATTGTTTTGTTTTAAGGAATCATACGCGTCTAAAATAGTTCAAATAGTTTATTACGAAAGCTATGCTTTAATTAAGGATAGTAGGGATTGTGTTAAAATATTGTATCAAGCACATTGCGCTCTTCAGCTAATCAATCCCAAATAATATTTGACCATCTCAAATTAGGAAAAATATATAATTGGCTGTCACCTTTTGAACTATTGGCTTAACGTGCCAAGCACGAATTTTCTTTATACACAAAATACTCTTTTCTACTGTCCTTACTGCGATGAAAAAATATATTGGGAGGGCTTGGCTCATCAGTGGTGAACCCTCCCAGCGGTTTCGCCAATTTAATCTACCGCTTCTCTTTGAACTCTAATACTGCATTGGACGATTCTGCTTATATGTACTACACTGAAAGGTGGAATCTTAGAAACGGTATTCTATTAGTAACTATTTGCTTCGCCATTGTTGCGGTTATATAGTCTTGCAGTCAGTACCTTGTAGGTTTTACTGAGCGTCTTTTGTTTATCATTAATTACTTACAATTTGGAGTTTAACACGTGTAGAAGAGAACACGTTTGGAAGCTCGTGTTATATCGCTGTAATAATAATTTCTCCGTTGTTCTCTTGGAATTTTTGTAATTTATAATTTTTAAATATTTTTCAAGAGAGAGAGGAATTAAAATATTTGATAGAATATAGGTAAAAAATATATTCCGTGACAACACTTCAATAGAATTCGAAATAATCATTCCCCTGAGGACAGCTTGTTGGTTGATGTAGCTATATCTTCCAAAAAATTCACCCATCATTGATAATATAGCTTATAAACAATGAATGACTATCACAAAGTGGTTTTTGAGAGCAATCATAACAATTATAAAAACAAAAAGGCATATTCTGACCACTCACATGAGAATTTTAGATGGCAGAGCGCCACCTTATAACAATTATAATAAAATTTGAAGACCATTTGTTATATAGCTGGAAGTTGATTCAGATAAAAACACCTCAACCAATAGTTTATAACTCCCGACGTTTCACTCTCTTCAGAGTAAATGGAGGGAACATTTCCTTGAAGAAAGTGACAGGAAGGTACTGAAACGTCGGGAGTTAAAATGAATTATAATAAAGTTGAACACAATTAAGACAATTCGATTTTTAAAATATATATCACCTTAGTAGACTATTCATGAATATTTTCCGCCAAAGATTTTGCGCGTGTCAACCAAAAACAAGTAATATGTTACAAAATTGAAAACCCTATCCTTTCAAGGAAAAAAAAGTGATTGGCTTCAACTTTAATGGAAAATATTTGAATATTTTTCCAAAAAGAGGTACCTCTTTCTTTAATTATGTATCCCAAAGATGCACTGTACAAAGGGAAAGGTGCCTCTTTTGGTACATGAATTTCATCCTCGCGGAACATTATATATATGCCTGGAGTAATCTAGCTGTGTTATGTTTTAAAAGTAAAATAAAATTACAGAGAGAGAATGCTTCTTATTAATTATAAACAAGGTAACTTACGAGCCTAAGTCTTCCTCAGGCCATCTCAATCCGTAAATGACGATGCTTTTTTAAAAGGTATCAATTCTAATTAAAGACATAGCCATCAGCCGCCTTAATCACGAGGTTCCTTCACATTCCCCTGAGGAAGGAACCAGGGAGTTGCCTATAAACCTCGTCTCAATTAAATAAATAAATAAAAACATTGATGTGTGCGCTAAGTCTTGTTTTTTGACAAGCTCCTAGCCAGAAAATGATTTATAACATATTACTTAACATATTTGTCAATCTATGAAAATAAAGCTCGCCTCTTTTGTTAAAATAGACGCCAAAACTAGATGCCATCTAATGACCGTATCCACAAACTAGCGGACTCGGGTCGGTGTTGTGTCTTTGTCACTGACCCTAGTGGTAGACCCCTGCGGAGACGATCATAGATGGTGCTTATTTATAGTTTTGGCGTCTATTTTGACGGGAGAGGCGACCTTTATTTTTATAGATTATTATCTATTCCTGGCAAAATTTTTATTTATATGTAAATGTAAAATAGCATATTTTTAAAGCATAATTGGTAAATATGTTAATTAAAATTGATATCTTAAAAAAAAACATCCTAGTTTAAGGATTGAGGAGGTCTGAGGAAGAGTTGAGGCTAGAAAGATCGGAATAAATAAGAAGCATCTTGGAGCAGTTCGTCCTTCAATGTAACTTGTACAACTCAGGGAACGTTGGGCTGTGCTTGTTGCCTACTAGGTGCTGTCTCGGCAATGTCTTCCTCTTCAGCATTTTTCTTCAAGAGAAAAAGTTGCCAATGCGGGATTCGATCCAAGGTCGTGACTGTCTAGAATCGACGGTTTATACAACGTTTCCACCAGAAAAATGTACAATCGTGTTTAAAGAGTTATTGTTGAAATATATGGCCATTTGTACTTACCATGGTTCATTGAAATAATGAGAATGTACAAGGGTTGTGTGTGCTAGGGAATTTATAATGGTTTAACTCACGAGATATTTGAATATTTCACCTACAATACTGGAGAGGGATGGACTATTTGTACCTAAAGTTGGCTATAGAGAAGTACACACCACATTGATGTAAGACAGATAAACATACAAAGTTGCTAAGAAATTTATAATGAAGCAACTTTCGATATATTTCAGAAATTTCACCATCATTGGATAGAAACCATTTAGATAAGACGAGTTTACAAAGGTTTCTAATGACTTGGACTTCACGAAGTCAACTTCAACCTTTTTCTCCATGTGGCCACTTTCAAGTATGACACACGAGGAGTATGCACTTTCAGTGGAATCATCGAACACGTAGAGTTATGCACTGGAGTTAGAGAGAGGTAACGTTCTGGTTGTATAGACGGAGTCATTTTACTCCGCCCTTTTGGTATTTCTTGTTTTAACGCTCTGAGAGTTCGTCCTGCCTAACCTATTTTCAACTTTCACATGGATTGAATCTGAAATTGTAGCTCGACTAATTCAATTGTTGATGATGCCAAGAGGAGCATAGATGAGTATGACTGCGGAGAGCATTCCGCTAGGTGGGCGTTTCATTCTATTAATAAACTCGGCTTCCCCCCGCTCAGTGTTTATCTCGAACGGAAATAGGCCAACTCTCGCTGGGTCTGGACGCTAGGCCGCTCGCGAAATGGTTGGCCACTCATTCCAGCAATTCTGGAGATTTATAAACCTACTTTCAGATTTGAAATCATCCACATCTATTGGTGTCCTTCCTCGATGGCATCAAAGTTTGTTGTCCATATAGTGGGTATATCTGCGGCTGGAAACTCTTCCGAAAACTGCTCAGCGTTCTTATTATTGATGTACTAGGTTCAGTAAGGTGAACATGCTGAGACAAACGTCACGACTTCTAAATGATAAACTTCTGGTTCTGGTTGGCTTCCATCATTCCATAAGAACCTTTGTGCCGCTCGATTTACCCCCCATATATCATCTTTCATCTGGAGAAACATTTCGGCATCAAAGACCATCTTCAGCAGTTACATTCCAGTAGGATCCCAACAGCGAGGTCCATGATTAACACCTCGTTCAGCGCTACACAGTGTCGCTCCGTGTTTCTCGGGTGCAAAAGGAGTAAGACGCTGTAGTTTCTTGCTGGCGCTAGTCATTTCTTCTCACAGTATGCAGGTAGTGTTAACAGGTTCTTCGTCCATCGCTTCCGTATTTGTCTTCATCTTTCTTTATACTCTTCGTAGTTTTCATGAAGCCATCACTCGGCAATAAACATTCCTGGTAGTGGGCAGCAGTAACTACCAGCACTGGTAGAATGCAGAGGTGTAAGGAATGCTGAACAAAGTATGGTAAAAGGACTAAAGCACCTTTAATCGCTACGTACAATCCTTGTAGAATACCTTGATGGTGGAAGGAGACTCCCCACACCAATAATCGCAAGTATACTTTGATAATGCAGACGTCTAAACTGTAGGAGCAGCAGACGTGATATCTTCAAAAGTGTCAACCAATCAAGAGCCCTCCCATCAATTTCCAGAACCTAAAATATAAAAAGTCTTCCTTGACTTTCCTTACAAGTAGGACAACAACAGGAAGAAACTACAAGGACATCTAACTCTTTGTTTCACACCTACGAATTGCTCAGCACTTCAGAGAACGCTGAAACGGCGAATTTTGAGTGGAACTCACGCGCGCAAGGTCACGTGCCCATCAATAATAGATTTGCCCCAGAATTGTGGCGACCTGGCGCCGCTGGCCTTCCCGCGCAAATCTATCGTCTGCCTCGAATTCCCGACTGATCTGATTAGTCAGAGATTCTCACGCTTCATAGTTTAGAATAGATATTGAATTTTATGCTATAGATTGCTTTATTTTATAATACAATATAATATAATGCGGCTTGTGATTGTAAAACGACATTTGAAAAATTATCCCGCATGTGTTTCTTTTCAACGAAAAATCAAGATTTATTTTAAGGAGAAATAACGATTATTTCTAACCTTAGGGGTGAGGTATGAAAGGATGAATTGTGAAGAGTAATGATAAACGGAAAAATAAAAGTGTCCAGGGATGGGAATCAAACCCACAGTGTTCCGCTTATCGGGTAGATCCCATGTCCACTAGGCTACCCTGGACATCACATGCGGGAAAAGAAACACATGCGGGATAATTTTTCAAATGTCGTTTTACAATCACAAGCCGAATTATATTATATTGCTATTATAAATTACTTTATGTATTATTTACGAACGGAAAAATATGTCCAAGGTAGCCTAGTGGACATGGCCTCTGCCCGGTAAGCGCAACACTGTGGGTTCCATTGTTGGCTTCGATATGGCTAAGCTTAGGAGGCGATGCCTTAATTCCTGACGATTGTTAATTGTAAATATTTTACCCTCCTGGTTGAGTGTTAACATTGTCTAGAAGACAATGAATAATTTTTAATTGTCAAACACTGTGGGTTCGATTCCCATCCCTGGACACTTTTATTTTTCCGTTTATCATTACTCTTCACAATTCATCCTTTCATACCTCACCCCTAAGGTTAGAAATAATCGTTATTTCTCCTTAAAATAAATTTTGATTTTTCGTTGAAAAGAAACACATGCGGGATAAATTTTCAAATGTTGCTTTAATTTAGTTTACTAGATTGGAGAGCAGGAGAGGAAAATACTCTCATACATTTTACACCCACAAAAATATAAATTATATTATAGGATTTAGCGAGAGGTTAATTTCAGTAATTTATATTAATTATCCTTTACCTTTTATAAAAAACTTTGTGAATTTGTGTTTAATAATTTCATGGTAAACAGAAAAGAAATATAATTGATACAAAATAAAAGTTTTTTTATGGCATATAACGGGAGTTCGGTAAAGTCTAGGCACGGAGAGAATTATACCCTCTACCATCCCGTAATTTTAAATACAAGAGATCTCAATGTCAGGTGAAGACGCGCAAGAAGCCAAAACGTATACAATCGATAGTCGACAGATTCTTCGAATCATTGGGGTGGAAATGGCTCCGAATTCAGAGGTACTGAGAACACTCTTGTACGAAGCTAATTTGTGTCTTGGAAATCATACACTATACGCTATTTTCTAAAGGAAGGGGAATCTCGAAGTACAATATATATACAATATCTTGGATTGGTATTCAAGTGTTATCGTAGAAAAACTATTAGAGAGATCGGTAAGAAAGGCGAAAGTTCTAAGGACAGTAAATATGATGGACTGGTGACAATGCTGAAGAACAAAAATGGAATTTCCGTCATAAATGCTTCAGAAACATTGTGTGTTTATTTGGCTATGTTCATTGTGGTGGTCACACAGGCCGGTTGGGAGAACTGCGCGCGCTGCAGGCCGTGGTATCCGGGACTCTTGGCAAGCTCGAACAGCAAAGCTTTCTTCCATCGGCCGTTATTTCTTTTCTATCTTTATTTTTGGCGTTAATCTACGCCCAACATATATATAGACATTAGAGAATAAGTTAGCATATTGATATATTGGAGTTCCAGCTGTATTTGAAATCCAGATCGCTTTGGCAAAAACGAGGTGTGAACAACTGCACATATTCCTATACTTCTCCTTACGGAAAATTGCTACGGGAAGGGGAATTGAATAAAAGACCTTGGTGTGTGTGCATCAATCAACTCGGACTCAATCGTCCATTCCTCCACAGGTCGGAGTACGCCATCAAAGCTGAACGTTATCGGGACCTATGTCTTTCAAGCCAGGCATCTTTCAGAACTACCGGTGGCTACGTTTGTTGGCTAATTCAAGCCAGGTCGTCATTCAACGCCTTGAAGATGAAAACACGTCTCTATGGAGAAGAATGTCAACTACCCAGAGGTTTATATTGCATATAATACTTTTTTTTTGTTCTACCTCAAGTTGCTGGCATCAACCATTTCCAGAATTGCTTGGCCAAAGTAGATGATGGATATACAGAAGCTAGCGATTGACACTTGGCTCTATTCGACGACGAGAATTATTGAAATAAAATAAACTAATGGGTTATTCAATAATTTTTACCTTTTTAAACTAATTGTTATATATGTATTGTTATTGTTATAAAACGTAACTGTTTCCAGATTTTCCCAAACAACCGTTATTTATTTGAATTTTATTGTGTATTTATTATTTAAAATATCATCTCATTAGTGTTTTACTTGATATAAATTATATACATGAAGGAAAAAGTTCAAAACCTAGTTACAATGATATATAAGATTTAATATCCACTTCAACCTTTCAAAGTTTCGGCGACCCACTGTCACCCTTGTCAAGGAAACCAATCCAATATATTCGTTCTCCTTGACAGTGGATAACCGAGATATTGAAAATAAAGAAAAGGAAAGGTTGATTTTTAAGATTTTTAATCTTATATATAAATCCAAAATGCAATAATGAGTTTTTCTCTATAGAGAATACCATAAATGTGTAGGCTGGATTTTTTTATTAATTCAATTTAAAGACTTCATCTGGTTGGGACTAAATATATATGTGATGATTTAAGACCATGGAATTGTTGTGAATAGTTCAGATATCTACTACCACATGTTCCACCACGTGACTGTATATAAATTCTTATTTACTGCAAATAGAAAGCCTCAACTAACATCAATCTGTACCGCGTAAGAATCTAATAAAGTATAGCAACTGTACAGATAGAAGGAATGGAGACTAACAGGAGAAAATTAAGGTTAAAACTAATCAGGCTTAGGTGAGAATAGAAGAAGGCCTAGCAAACCCAGTCCAACTTTTACGAGGTCATGGCCCTCCTGGATAATAAAACTTCCCCCCCCCCTGTTTACGTCAGAAAAGAGCAGCGACCTGTTCGGACCCGCTCAGCTATAAAAGGAGGTCCCGATCCTCAGTTAGTCAGTCCTTAGGTAGTCTTTGTTTCAGCCCCAGTGCGCCGGACGCTCCGATAAAAGGTAAACCCTTTCCTGCCAGAATTCTCCTCATCCCATTCCTTCTTGACGTCAGACGCTTCTTAGTGGAATCTCAGTTTGTTTATTTCACCTTTGGCCCAGCTGTGTCGCCTTCCACCACGACTGCACGGTAGAGTTGACATCGAGGTTCGTCTAGCATCAGGTAACACTGGTCCCAGAGAGGTCCCAAGATATCACATATACATATATAAATACAATATATATACAATCACACGCTTATTTTATATATATGTGGTGAGGTCCTGTTGACTCTTGTAGAATCCTGTCGACTAAATCTGTGGTGAGGTATCCAGTCGACTTAAACTATGGTGCGAGTCCCTGTCAACTCTCGCTATACTGTGTTGGCCGAGAGGAACAGTCAGGATGGGGATTTTTCCAGTACCTCTCTGCACCTTGGAAGACCTTTAACAGTTCTCACAAAGTACAGGCAGTCGTGGTCGAGGCAGAGTGGAAAGCTCGGGAATGTCCATACACAAAAAACGAAGACACAGTTGCACTAAGAAAGTTCCGTGAACAGATAAAAGTTGAGCTAGGAGCGAAAGATGGAGATAGAAGAGTTCTTACTGGGCTACATGGTCGATGAGGTGGACCTGGGGTACAACCGACGAGGGCTCACGCAGATGGTGAAGTAACTGTCAAGTGACTGTATTTATAGGTTAAGACGGGGGCCTTTTATATATTTTCCGAGAAAGGGAGTGTTGCATTTCAACAGATGCACACGAGGGTGGATCACGGGTGAAATTGGACACTGGCGCCGTGGCAGTTTCCATCTTTAGACCTTGTTGTGGGAATTCTAAATCTATCTCGATTTTATACGTTATGACTTCTATCTCTTGCTTCAGCTCAACTCTTAATCTATTACAGAGTTTTACTTATTTATCTTCAGTTTGTACAAAGTACATTACATATGGTGATGTAATGACACATGTCAATCATGCGTATAATCATTTACAGATGTGTTTCTATTATACAACATGAAAATCTTGTTATAAGTTATATACAATATGGGATTGTTGGTTTAAATTACCATATATATGTATTATGTTATTATTGCTGGACCATGACGGCGGGCGGCTAACTTCGGCAACACCGGAGCTGACGTCACACACCCGTACTTTCACTTTCTGTTTTTGTATCCTGCATCGGCGTAGCCGCGCGGACTCATATTTTCTTTCCCCTTGATTACCATTTCATCAATATATATAATCCTTTCACCTTGTTGTAGTTAATTAAAGAATAATTAACGTTAAGCGCTGTGTGTGTTATCAAATTGAAATACAACAAAGATTATGAGACTGAAGAAGCGCAAGACCTAAAACGTCAGACTGAAGAAGCGCAAGGCCTAAAACGCGAGTAACCAAATTTCCTTTGATTACTTGGAACATCCTTTTTTCTACTTACCAAATATTTTGTAAAATGGCAAACACGACGATTACAAAATTAAATGGTGCTAATTACTCCAGCTGGAGCTTCCAGATGAAACTCGTTCTAATGGAAAACGACTTGTGGAGTTTGATCAATCCAGGAGAGGCTAAGCCTGACCCTAGTGACCATGTTGCAACAAAACCTTTTTTGTCGCGGGAGGGTAAGGCGTTTGCAAAAGTTTGCCTCGGGATTAATGATGAACAACAATTGCATGTTCAACATTTGAATACTCCGAAAGAGGTCTGGGAGGAACTGGAAATATTATACGCACTAAAGGATAGTAGATATCGAGCCGTACAACTAAGAAGGCAGTTATATGGCGAAAGGTTGACTCAGCACAGCAATATGGAAGGGTATATGGGGGATAAACCACACTGTAAACGAACTGGCCCTAATTTTCGACAAAATTGATGATGGCGATTTGGCTATGGTTCTTTTGGGTGGATTACCAGAGGATTGGGACACCGTTGTCTCAACCATATGTAACTTGCCTGATTCAGACTTCACGACCACCACAGTTAAAAGACGGCTGTTGGCAGAAGCAGAAAGGCGTTCGTCAAATCTACCAAAAGATGTGGGTGCCATGGTCGTTAATGCCTCTTCGAAGCCCATTGAAACAGAAAAACAATTTAAAGCAAAGGTTGTTTGTTTCAAATGTGGAGGTGAAGACCATTATGCAAGGGAATGCAGAAAGAAAGGAAAGAATGAACAAAGACCAAAGAGGTTTGACCAAAACAAAGGCGTAAATATGTCGGCAATGTGCAACACTTTGTTTGGAGCTTCCGCCGAGACCTGGATCATAGATTCTGGAGCGACGCACCATATGACTCCCAAGAGAGATTACTTCACATGTCTGAAAAAGTGCACAAGCAATATGAGTTCCATCACTGTTGCGAATGGCTCTTCTATAGAAGCATGTGGTATCGGTACTGTCAGTGCCAATATTGTTGGACACAAGGGAGATGCCAGCAATTTGGTTGCCCAGAACACCTTGTACGTTCCAGATATTTTTTTATTATCATTTACAAAGCACGCGATATCCGTCTTGGATATTTGCATGCATACACAAGTTTGGGAGCTTATTAACAGTAATTATTAAT